TCTGCATAATTATGTATCATCATTTTCCATCGATGTATTTTCTCACGTGCTTTCAACAAAATAATTATACAGGCATTAGCGCAACAAGGTCAGAGCGTGGAGTTCTTGCACAGCGTGAAGGACCATATGGTATACTATATTAACTCTCTTTTGACCAGGGACGCCCTGAAAACGGGAGACACTATTTGTTTTTTGGAGGATTGCAACGAGTCTAGAAAATACTATATCCCCTAATTGTCAGGTTAAAAGGAAAAGATAAGGGATTGAAATATTTACGGAAATAAAAATATTATTACGACAGGATGCGGAGTCCTTTTCAAAATTTTCATGGGGTAGGCCTAATGACCCCCTGACTCCCTATGTCCACGCTTATGGTTATAATGGTTACATCAGAAAAAGGCTGCACCTGATTGGGAGTTTTTGCCGAACATGGCTTAAAACGATATGAGGTAACCATATGACTAGAATCATACACAGATGGAGTAAAAGACATTTTGTACATTTTGGGCTAAATGGAACTTCTCTGCAATCGGTTGCGTTATTTATGTTGTCGCAGCGCTTATCGCGTTTTGTTATTTAAAGAATATTCTTGTTTGGTGTCGTCATTAGAGAGGGGAAAGTGAGATAAGCCCTTGGGGTAGTTAAAAGGAAGTTGCACCTGAATCGGTCACTCCATAGTGAGATCAGACAGCATCGATTCTTGAAGTATGTAAATCCGCTAACGTGAAGAATATTGTTTTGCATGTTCTTGTGATCCTTGTACTCAATGATGTCTAGGAAGTATGTTCATTCTCCAAATATTCTCTGTGTGGTTGTTTACGACTAAGTCTCCAAGACATCCCAATTCTCCAATTGCCAAAAGGGCACACGAGTTTAATTTTGAAGCGCGGAACTGAACTGTTGCGAGTACTGATTAACTCATGTCTAGAGAAATCGTGGTACTGCCAGGACCCGTGCGTCAAAAACTGTAAACACAGCAGGCAACGGACTTTTGACTGCACAAGCAGTAGCAATATGGTTCATAGTTCATCCCTACTTAATGAATAAACTACGAATTCTTGGGAACAATAATGATTATGAAACCACCACCGCTTATTATACAAATACACCACTGCATTAGGGGAAATCTTTCTCTAATTCATTTACATAAACTATTAAAAACACTTGTTTCAAAAGAAATTACCAGGGCTTTAAGGGAAAAAAATGATTCGGAATATTCATGATCAAAATGTAATAGACACTTAATCAGAAAGGAAAGAAAATCCATATTACATTCAGGCATTATTTTATTCTTTGTCTTCTATTATGTCTTTGTCTTCAGTCATTAGAGGCACAGTGGGAGAATGTGAATTGAAGTTGCCAAAAGTCGAAAAAAATGGTTATTTAGGAGACAAGTACTGAAAGTAATACTTTAGCGTAAGAATGAGGGGTGTCCCGCACGAGGGGACCGTAGAAGCGGAGTTAGAAATTTTGAAATGATAAAGCCAAAGTTATTTTCGTACGACATTTTGCAAAGTACATTTTTTATGTACGAATGTACAGAAACTTTTAAGTGTGTGATCATTCTCAATATGCAGGATGGACGTAATGTTGATTCATGCCGCTATGAATATTTCACGGTGCGCGTTCCTCAAAAAAAGCTTCTTTGCGTACAAATACAGCAAAGTGCTATTTTTCAAACACTAAACGAAAGTAATATTGATGGTCGCCGTGGGTGAAAGTGGAAAGTTTTAAAAAAATGATTGGAAATTCATATAAGCTCAAATTTTGAATATAAACTACATTTAACATGTTTTCCGTCATAATATTTTTTTAAACTGGTTGAAATATGTTACCATTTCAGCGCTCTCTTATTTGAGTTGGACCCAGTCGCAGCGGGTCCTGGTCGTTTCTCTTTAGTTTCGATCAGAGATGGCAAAACCGCCATAAATTGTCTTGCGAGCCATTGTCACTTGGACCAAATTTGCCCCCAATTGATAAAAAACAAAATAATTTAAGAAGCAGTAGATTAGTTACCTGTTCCTGAAAATTCCTATTGAATTTTTAAAGTTCATTTTAATCCACAAAAAACACAAACGCTAATAAGCCAAATTGTGACGATTTAAAACGTCATATTTCTTGGTAAAAGTGGTACGAGACCTGAAACTCCGCAGAAACGCCCGTTCATACAGATAATTAGCAATGCGTATTGTTAATGATTTCGTTCACAGAGTTTATTTTCAAGTATTTTCTAACACAGCATCTGGTATGTATGGAGATGTCATTGGTTACATTAAAGTATTTCGCCAAAATAACCTATTCATTGCGGAAGACCGATTTTCGCCTGTAAACTAGCGTGGGAGAAAAAGGTTTTATCGTCACTTTATGTATTCACGAAAAACAGCAAGTTGTTCTTTGAATTTAAGTAAGAGAACTGTCTGCCTGCGGAGGAATCTAACATTGAAACCGTTATCATAGAACAAACACGGTCGTAGAAGCTGATTGGGAGCATGGAGTCGACGGGATTCCGAAGAGTGGAAGCAAAGGGTATGGTGCGTCGAATCTCATGCACCTGGTCACAGTGGTATCAGCAGAGCGAGATGGCGGACGAGGGAACTGAATTCTTTCAACACTTAAGTGTATTAATGTGTAATAATCGAAAGCAAAGACGTGCGATACTGAATTAAAGGACAAAAACCTCTCAACACAGAGTTTTGGACCTACGTAATATATTCCCCATTTTTCTTCTCGATGCTTCATCGGCATTCATCAAAATTCTTCCTGAAGATTTTTCGGCATGGAGCTGAATTTCGTAATTCTTATCCGTCAATCAGTTCTTATTCTGATGACCAATTCATTTCGTGTATGAAATTCAGTGACATAGCTGAGAAGCTTCGTGACCGTAAATAATCTGAGCTGGGTTTTTAAACTGACTTGAGGTGAATCATTAAGAACGGCTTCTCAGAGCCAACACTGCCCGTGTCTCTGCAGCGGCTCTGACTGGAGATTCTATGGTTTGGATCCTAATTGTAGTGGATTTCCGACACTAGCTGTGTAGCTAGGTCAAATTCAGCGGCTGTTTGGAGGAGTATTCAAGTGGCCGGCAACTCTGATTGGTAATTTTCCGTGGTTTCTCCGATCTATACCAGGCGAATATCGGAGCAGTACCCTAACAAACGAGCCACGGTCCGCCCGCGATGTTTCTTTCCTCTTTCTCGTGTCCCTTCTCTTCACCCTTTACTTACACACACACACACACACACACACACTTATGTGTCCTTCTGTACCACACATGTCGGGAGTCCAGTCGGATGCTTAGAGCTTGCCCTCACTGAGAAGGTGCCTGCTGGTGGGAGACACCCGGAGGGGCAATCATTCAACCATTATCAAGAATTTGTCGAGTGAAAAGCCAAAAAGTAATTTGATTTTGTTAGTTGGCTGAGGAAACTTTTTTCGATCATTTATTTATCATTTATCAACCAATAATTATTGTCTCTAATTTTTTGGTTTAATAAGTATCAAAACAATTTTATCGGTTTTTAAAATTTGTTGCGTTATCATGAATTAGGTACAATAAAATAATTTCGTCATCTACGTAGTCATTCATTCTTTTGTTGCAAGTATTATTTTAGGGAATTTCGCATCCTTCTCTTTTACTGAACAATAATGTTGACTTCGATTTTATAGCTATCGGACCATTGTGTGGCTGTACGTCATAACTGCAATTCGCGTGAGCGTCCGCTCGTGGGCAAAACATGTCCTGGACCAGAAATCTGCCATGCAGCTTGTTGGAGCGCAAGCGTTTGGAATAGTTTTTTATTTCTTGAGTTTATATTCAATTTATAATAAATTTTGCTGTTTTTTACATCTTATAACAGCTGGTTTTTGTTACCTTCTTGTAATAAAGACCTATGTTTTTCTGCTCTTTTAGCAAATTAATATAAGACCATTATTACGTAAAAGTGATATGTTTACTTCGACAAAGCTGCACACTATGACATAGAGGGGATGCTTTTTGTGTCATCTTGCCACTTAATACCATCGTTTTCCGTTACTCTTACTCATTTCCAGCAAGAAAAGAGCGTTGAGATTATTTTGAGATAACTGAAAAATTTGCAAGATGAAAAAAACTAATTCAAGTCACGGAACAAACAATTCAATATTACCTTGTAGTACTATTAGAATCACTGTTTGAAGTTCTTGTCCGTGGTTCTTATCCCATATTTTCCTGTTGCCTGGGTGTACAATATAGGAAAAGAATACGATCTAACCCCCAATACTTTACTTTGATCAAGGCAAGCAAAAACGATCCTTCTACTTTTGAGTAAATAAGAGCCCATATGTGTTTCAAAACAGTCAAATAGGTCTAATACACAGAAATTTAACATGCATGACTTTATTACATTTTTCTGCCAACAATTAAGCAATTTGTGATTCTTAACTTATGTAAACATTTTAGTACAATAAATATAAAATAAAAAGCAGATTAAAGTTCAAATGCACAGTGATTAATTATTATTTAAATAGTTTAGTCATACAATTCAGTAACAAAAATATTTACGTTGTTAGTCAAGCGTAGGCGATCACTTCTCCCACAGACTAAACTGCGATTTATCAAACACTGCCCCTGGCAGAAATCAGCGGTTGACTGTTTCATCTAATCGGGAGCTTGAACGTCACCATAGTGTCGTCAGTATGTTGATGTTAAAGCTTCCGATGGGATGAAACAGTCAGCAGATGATTCCTGCCAGTGTCAGAGTGGGATAAATCGCAGTATAACACACACTGCACTCTTTCTCCTATGAGGTTTGCGTCAGTCAAATAATCTCATTCGTTTAATTGAATATAAAATAATTACTACAAATCACAGCAGACCACTAGAATGCATTTAGTGCGACTCTTGGACGCCGCCTAGTGTTAGGTTCAACCCTCAACCTATGTTGGTAAAGAAGCCCCGGGAAAAATAATTAATAATTAAATTAAGTGAGAAATCTGAACACGGTAAATCTGAACCAATGTACTCAATACACGTTATTATCTGATGATGAATCTTTGTCAATATTCTTGAGTTTAATACTCTAGAAATAATTTTTAATGTAATGAAACAAAAAGTTGCCTCAACAACGACACCATTGTTTTGTTCCAATACTTGTACAACTGGCATACTTTTACGATAATAATGGGCATTATTTGGTGTCAAAACAAAAAAAAAAAAAGCTTGTAAAAACGAAAGAAATTGTGGAAATATTCTTCCTCTTAATTACGTACGTTTGTAATTTCTTATCAGTTACGTGCTTGTGAATCGCGAGTATGCGTCATACGTTAAATCTAGTGTATCTGTGAACTCCATTTTCTTCACAATCTATTTATTTGACATCATAGACCTGCCGGGACCAGAGTTCGGCAAGCGCAACCGAGTGAACAGTCGGCTGCTTAACATTATCCGTGCCCACTATGAGGTTCACTATCCGCAAATACGGAACAGTTCTTAACAATGTTCTCTTACTGCGGCATAACAGCATTCGAATTAACAACCACAAGCTTAATCCAGTACTACCATGTACTAACCGCGTCAAGTACTTAGGCGTCTGGCTCAATTTTGAACAGAAAACAATCACAGCAGATGAAGCCTCCGTACGCAGAATACCACAACCCTACAGGCTTAGGGAGCGATGGGTATCACTTGGTGTCACTGCAGTGCCTCTGACTGGGAGGTCCAGGGGTTCGAGGCCCGATGGTGGCAGGATTTTCGTCAGCAAGGTTGAATTCAGACGCTGTCTGGAGGAGAATTCTAGCGGCCGGCTGATCTGATCCGTAGTTTTCAGTGGTTTCTCCGATCAACACTAAGCGAATGCCGGAACAGTACCCTAACAAAGAGGCCACGGACCGCGCGCGATCTTACCTTCCTCTTCCTTGTCCTATTATCACCCATTACTTACTTACACACACACTTACATGCACTACAGTACCGTACATGTTGACGGACCTGTCGGGAGCTTAGATCGTGTCCCAACTGAGGTGGTGCTGGTGAGAGATACCTGATTGGAAAGAATCCCGCGAGCCGACATGTAGGCCGGCGACGATGTCGCCATCCGGCGGAGGAAAATTAGAGCCACCCGCGATAAAAAAAAAACTTCCACTACAGTTTCGGGGTTAATGACTTTGGCAGTTGACGCGCCCGGAGTGACTAATCGGTCAACCACTATATTGGTTTCGTTGCCCTGCTTCAGACGTTTGTACACCGGAATGGTTGTGTGTCTATTACCTGACCGCATCGCCTCCACCAGCAGCTGGCTCTTCCTTGGATCAGACGGATCTATGCTCGTCACCCAGCCAACCGAGAAACCAGCGATCGAAGTGTACATGCTATATTACTACATTATTACAATGTGTGTTCACGAATTATCTCCCCCCGCTGGTTGGCCCACTCCTTCGGCAACAATTTAAGAATGAGCTGTTAAGAGCCTTGTTCGCTCTTTTATACCACATAAGTATTTATGTTACTTTGTACGTTGATAATAGTGCTGTAATAGTAAACATTGAAAGGAGGGTATGCCACTCCCCATTTCCTTTGACGTGTATTATAGCTCACATTTGTAACAGCCTTTGTAAATTCAATGTTCACCTGACCTGACCCACGCCACCAAGTCACCTGCATTACGAGGGGGCTTGCAGTCTGTCGGAGGCGCTCTTGTGGAGCGGGCACATCAAGAACGCTTCCTGGTAAACAATGGGAAAACACTAAATATTCTATTCAATAATGAGCATCTTTGTTCGGTTCTAGACTGCCCACCAGCAACAAATGCGAAACATAAATGCTTAGTGATGGTCACCAATAACCCTTTAAGAATATTGCTCTAGAAGAACTAATAAAAGTAAGAAAACACAGAGCACTATATTGGAAATAGATGAGTTTGGAAGACATGTTAAAGAATTTTAATTGGGCCCTAATATAGATCACAGTTGAGTTACATTCTGGCTTGGGGAGTCTATGCATAAAAACTAAGGGCGAAAAAGAACCAAAAAGGAGATGGAAACTGAGGTTTATGATAAATGTAAACAGCGAAAGGAGGAAGAGGGCAGGAGAAGAACGAGAAGGGTGATGAGGAGAAGGAGGAGGTCGAAAGGGAGACAGAAGAGAAAAAAGGGAGAAAGAAGAGGAGGAGAAAAAGGAGAGGGAAATGAGGAACGAGGAGAAGAAGAAGAATAAGAAGAGGAGGAGGAGAAAAAGGAGGGGGAGAGCGGGACCAAGAAGAAGGAGCTGGAGGAGAAAAGGAGGAGGAGGAGG